CGGGGCCTAAGGGGGAGGCGGGAGATTTAAAAAGATGTCATAACAGTCGCCCTCCAGGTGGTCCTGACACAGCTGCAACACAGTATGGTCACGTCCTTCCTCCTGCCACAGGCAGGGGATGTATCTGGGAGCTCTCTCCCTTCCCTAGTCACACCTGACATGGCCCCTACACTACAGGTGTGGTGCTGGGTACCCAAGGTGCTGCAGCAAGTGGCAGCAGCTGTGGGGAGCAGTGGCGTCCCACTCCCAGGCCCTCCCAGGAGGGATGGTGGGTTCACAGCCTTTGGAGCCTGGGTGGGACCCCAGGGAAGGCACAGGACTCAGAGGTCTCGCCAGCTGGGGGAGGGCAAGGTAGATAAAGGTGCTACCCGCTTGCACTAAATCCCACTGGGAATTTAAACTTCTCCTCCAAGCCTGCAGGGAAAGCAGGAGGCGGGACAGAGGTGCACCAAGAGGCAGAAGCACCAGCCCCCACCCACCTGCGCTCTTGCACCCAGGGTGTCCACCTGACCTGGTCACCAGCCTCTGTCAGGGTTTAATTCTCCCCTTTCCCTTTGCATTTCAAGCCCTCACCTGAACTTCCTCCCTTACCTGGAGAGATAGGGCATTCAGTGGGGAGGGCGGGCTCTCGGGGGGGACAACAGTCAGCCTTGAGGGAGACTTGAATTGGTTGGGGTGTACCCAACAGGAGGGAGGTGCCCCAGAGCCACACCACTCTTGGGAGGCGGGCAGGTGGGGCCCTGGGGTGAGGTGGGATGAGGGATGCTAAAGGCCTCAAGTCAGGTCCAGGACGTGTAGAGGGGAGCCAGGGTGAAGCAGCTTGCTCCTGCTGGCTGTGGCTCTGCTTTGGGTTCTGTGACTTGCAGGCTTCCTAGCCTTTGTCCCCCAGTGTCTGCTGCAAGATGCCCAGGTGTGGCAAGGAGCTGGGGTCAGGTCCCTATTGGGAGATGTTTCTGGGACTCCCAGCTGCAGGTGGGGCTGGGGAGGGTGACAGGCTGACCCCAGGCCACACAAGAGAGTTGAAGGAGAGGCCCACCGAGGAGGGTGTCCCTGCGGGAGAGGGTGGGCAGCTAAGGGACAGAAAGGAGGCAGTTGTTCAAATCCACAGATCAGCCCCCTGGACTTGGGGGCCTCCCCACTCCCCAGAGGGCATCTGGAACCTGAGCTCTGTCCTGGTCTGGATCCCCATCTCCACCCCCAAAAGGGCTCCCTCCAGCCCAGGGCTGTTTTATTACATCAGGATCTTGCAACCCAGAGTTTTTAAGCAAAGAAAGGGAAGGAGCAGGGCTGGGAGGGCCCATGGGAGACTAAACCATGGTGCCACTGAGGCAGGACTAGAGGCCTTGGGTGGGGAGGGCTGTGGCTCTCTGCAATGCCCTCGGGGACGCATGGCTTCCAGGGGACACAGAGTAGTGAAGGGAACACAGAAAGGGGCCTCGCTTGCAGGAGAGAGTGGGAGAGCCCCAGCCATCCCGGTCACCAGTTTCTTCCACTTGGCTGCTTTAGTGGCCGCATGCTGACACCTGGTGGTCACCTCTAGATTTACAGTGGCACCGCCCAAAGGTCTTAGGCACTGACATTCGGGGCACCCTAGGGAGAGGACTTGGGGCGGTGGGGACAAAGCAACCACATTTCTCCCTACCACGGGAGGTGCCCCCTGCAGCGTCGGGGTAAAAGGAGGGAGCTCTGCGCCTTTGCACGGGGACCTGAGGCTCTTGTCTGCCTCCATCCTGGCGTTACAGAGGGGTTAGTGGAGGCCCGAGGGAGCTTCTCCCACTGGGGGCTCCCTCCCCAGGGGATGTGGTAGGGTCGATGCCCAAAGCCAGAAGTTACACCTGGGACTCTTTCCTGAAGTTTCCGTTGCGCTCTGAGATGTAGAGGAAACTATTACGTTAGTATTAAAATAGAATCAGATGTGTTGCCCTGGCCAGTGTGGCTCAGTGGTTAGAGCGTCGGCCTTCTGGACTGAAGGGTCCCGGGTTCGACTCCTGCCAAGGGCATGTACCTCTGTTGCAGGCTCAACCCTGGACCCCGGTCTGGGGGAGGCAACCCATCGATGTTTCTCTCTCTTTCTCTCTCTTTTCCTCTCCCCCTTCCACTCTCTCTGAAAAGCAATGGAAAAAAATATCCTCAAGTGAGGATTTTAAAAAAATCAGACATGTTACTGAGAGGCAGAATGTTGGGGACCCCCCCCAGGCAGGCAGAGACCCCAAGGCTGTGAGGGCGCAAGGGCCTAGCCCAGGGTGCAGTTTCCCCACGAGGCTTTCAAATCTGGCCTGAGCCTGACACCTTGTGGCCATTTCGGGAATTGCAGCCGCATCCTCAGCACCTGGGTTTCCTGTAAATCAGTGTCCCCCTCAGGACAGGTCACCAAACCCCGGGACCCAGGAGCCACACAGGGACCCGGGTCCTGAGAACCCCACACCATCAGGTAACGCAGGGCTCAGCCGCCTTCGTGTGGGCAACCAACAGGCCAGGTGAGGCCGCCCCGGGCTGAGCTCGGCCTCAAAAGTGACAAGGCCACCCTGGGGACCCTGGAGGCCCTGGGGACCCTGGGGGCCAGCGCTGCAGAGATGACATAGCTGTGCTCAGATGGGGGGTGGGATGGGTCAGAGGAGGCCGAGAGGGTGACCCTGGCTGCGCTGTGGGCCCGGCCCAGCCAGTGCACCCCTGGTTCCGTGTCCTGTGGCCTCACCGGCTTCACGTGCTGGTGCACAGGGGCCTGCAGACCAACACTCGCTGTTCACAGCTCCCGGTACGAAGGTGCGTGTGCCCCTAACCGGCTCTCCTGGGCCCTGTGGAGATGCAGCCCCAAGGGTTGGTCACTCAGCCTCAGGCCCTGCTGTCCAGGACAGCGGGGACACCTGCCTGCGGAGGCCCTTCCGTCTCCTGCATCTCCCGCNCCCACGTGCTGGTGCACAGGGGCCTGCAGACCAACACTCACTGTTCACAGCTCCCGGTACGAAGGTGCATGTGCCCCTAACCAGCTCTCCTGGCCCCTGTGGAGATGCAGCCCCAAGGGTTGGTCACTCAGCCTCAGGCCCTGCTGTCCAGGACAGCGGGGACACCTGCCTGCGGAGGCCCTTCCGTCTCCTGCATCTCCCGCAGGCAAGTTGCCATCAGGAGGCCGGCCAAGGGGGGATCTCTCAAGGCCCGGCTCCCTTCGCTGGTGGGATGGGGTTCACCGAGCTGCTCAGCCCCTCCCGGGAGGGTGGCTGGCACAGGAGGAGGCCCTCCTGCCCTGAGCTGGCTCCAGGGGCCTTATCCCCCTTTCCTTCCCACCTCCTGAGCCCCCCGTAACCCAGCCCTGGGCCTCCTCCCCTGGGGAGCTGGTCACTCACCCACGGGTCACACCTGCTCACCCCAGGGGCTGTCACTTTACTGTGGAGTAACCCTCAGCTGCCTCCTGCCCACGTTGCCTGGAGGAAAACTAGGCCCAAGGGCTGTCCCCGTGTCATTCGGGCCCAGGGAGGGGAGTGACCGGCCAGAGATATAGAGCAAGAAGCAGCGGAGCCCGGCCAGGTCTCCTGAGGCTGTAGCCCATCCTCTGCCCTCCCCAGCCTCTCCTACACGCCCGGCCCAGGGACCGTGAGCTCTGCGCAGTGACAGGCCCGGGCAGGAAGCTAGAGACTGCCCGCTTGTCCTGCTGAGGAAGGAGTTAGGTGTGGGGTGCGGGGAACCTGCTAGAACCACAGCCCAGGCCCTGGGAGAGACACCCCCTCCCACGTCCAGCTCGGGACCCTCACAGCAGCTCTACAGGAGGGTGTCCTTTGATTCCCCTTTGAAGGATTGGGAACCTGAGCGGCAGGGCCAGGAGGTCCGCCCTGGACTGCCAGGCCCACCAGCACCCCCTTAGGCCCTGCGCCAGCG